TTGTATGTATATGCATGAGCTTGTGTATGACACTGTTTTTAAAGAGACCATTGTAATTGTTTCTTAGAATGTTCTTTGTTTTTTAAAATGGACTTGTTAAGGCAGTCAGGTAGGACTTGAATTTGTGCAGCCAGGGCCGGCCTTGCGTTTTGTTTTGTTTTGTTTTGTTTTGTTTTGTTTTGTTGAGACAGGCTCTCCCTATGCAGTTCAGGCTGACCTTGAATTTGTGGCAGTCCTGCCTCAGTCTCCCATGCTGGGAAGTAGTTAATATTTAAGCTGAACAGAGAGCCCTCTCGTATCTGGATTGTGATCTTGAAATATCATTCCCTGACAGTATTTTTCCTTGGAGGAATGTCTGGTTCTAGATCTGGGACAGGAAATGTAAGAGATCTGGAACATCTTGTCTAACAGAAGTAATTTTACGAGATAGTTCCAGGGGTTGTGCTAGGATTCAGGAGCCAATAGAAGACGTTTCCACTGGCCAAAATAGGACACTTTGAGTATCACTAAAGGTCACTCTTAGGTCAAGACATAGAATATGTTTAGTCTATGATACCATGGTAGTTAAGAACAAGTTTAATGGTCACTTTGGGGAGATTCTACTGCATCACCTCATTGTTTTGAGAATTTAGAAAGAGAAAGAAACAGGATAGAACAAATCTACACTTTTCCCATGTGAGTTGTATCGCTGGAGAACCAGTGGTTGGTTTGCTTTTCAGTGGGATAGTGGGGTTTGAAGCCTTGGAGCACTGAGCAACATCTCCAGTCCTTTTGGGGGGTGGGGGGTCTTAGTAAATTGCCCGGGCTAGTCTTGGATTTGTAATTCTCGTACCTCAGCCTCTGGGGTTAAAGATGTGGACTACCCTAGCTGTTTGTTTGTTTGTTTGTTTGTTTGTTTGTTTAATGGACGTGTTCCCAGAATAAACCAAGGATTAACTAGAATGACAGTTGATCATGTCTCCTAATGGAAGAAAACACCGGCCCAATGAGGAGCCTTGGAGAAAAAGTTAAATCTGTATCTTATCACACCTGTGAGCCAACTGTCAGTTTTCAAGGTATTCAGAGGATAGAGGCTGTGTATGTGACCAACAGTGCCCACAGTAGGAAACTGTAGGAGGTGACGTAGTCATTTTTTTGTTGCTTCGTCTTGTTTCTTGAGATGGGGTTTTGCTTTGTAGTCCAGGCTGACCTCTAACTCCTGTTGATCTTTCTGCCTCAGCCTCCCAAGTGCTGGGGTTACAGGTGTGTGCCAGCATTTCCAACAACTTGATTCTTTAACAAGTAAATTGCAAGAGAAAAAGATGTAGAAAGGCCTACAATTTAAAACATGTAAGAACCTTAATAAGCAAAATGTGGATGTTATTTGGCTCCTCATTCAAACAAACAAAAACAGTGTTTGAGGGAATTTGAAATTTGAATGTTGAGTACATATTTGATATTAAAGGACTGTCAATTGTTTAGGCATGTGATTTTTTTCATTTGTTTATTTTTTTGAGACAGGGTCTCACTATGTAGTTGAGACTGACCTGGAACTCACTATGTAGCCCAGATCTCGAACTCACAGCAATCCTCCTGCCTCTGCCTCTGCCTCCCCTAGTGCTGGGATTACAGGCGTGCCCCACCATGCCTGGCCTGTTTTTTGACTTTTTGTTTTTTTGGCTTGTTTTTGTTGTTTTACTGTGATGTTGAAGTCCATGAGTGAGTGTGTGTGTGTGTGTGTGTGTGTGTGTGTTATTGGAAATTGAACCAGGGCCTTGCATGCTAGACAAAGGCTGCATCCCTGAGCCACATTGCCACCCTTGATGTTTAAATTTTTATTGTGTAGAGCCATATATGAGTATGGTATTAGGGATTTGTTTCTAAATAGTAGAGGAGGGATGTGGGAAAATAGAGGAAACAGGGTTGATTTTTGAGTCAAGTGAGTTTTGAAACTGGGTGATATTTACATATCCGCCTACTTCTGCATTTAAAGTGTAGCTGCCATAAAGATCGCAGAGGGTCCAGGATGCAGCCCAGTGGGAGAGCACTGATCCTAGTGTGTGCAAGGTCCTGGATCTGATCCCAGCACGGGCGGAAAGTTGAAGGTGGGAGGGGCGGAAAAGGAAACCACTGCACTCTTGATTTAGAGACTCGGCTGTATGTAGTAAAACGAAAATTTGCCCTTCTCCTGGTGATAGTATGAATCTCAAATTCCATGTCCATCTGAGTTTCCTTCTTTTTTTCTTTTTCTTTTTTTTTTTTTTTTTTTTTTTTTTTTTTTTTTTTTTTTGACCGAGGATTGAACCAGGATCTTCACACTGAGTTACATTCCCAGCCTTTTTTCTTTTTAATTTTGAGTCGGGGGTCTCGCGAAATTATGGAGACTGGACTCAAACTTGGGAGCCTCCTGCCTCAACCTCCCAAATGCTGGATTTTCAGGTGTACACAACCATGCCCAGTTTGTGCTGGCCTTTAGTTTCTGAAATTGGTCTTTTGTTTGTTTGGAGACAGGATCTTGCTATACAGTTCAGGCTGGCCTTAAACTTGCAGCGATCCTTCTGCCTCAGCCTCCTGGGTGCTGAGATTATAGGAGTATGCCACCAGGCCTGGCTGAAATTCAGTTTTATCTGGTATTTAAAAAATAAAAACAAGAATCTTGCAGCTAAATTGATAAGAATTGAATTTCAATTTCATTTTGAACCTAACGAGGCTTCTCACACGCTAGGCAAGCATTATATGCCACTGAGCTCCATTGCCAGCGTTTTAAAAATTATTTTGAAGCTGGCTGTGGTGGTGCATGCCTGTAATCCCAGCACTGAAAGGCTGAGGCCAGAGGATCACAATAGTTTGTAACCTGTCTCAGTGTAAACCATTTTATTTTGAGATGGGGTTTTGCATAAGTTGTCCAGGCTGGCCTTGAATTTGCGATCCTCCTGTTTCAGCCTTATGAGTAGCCAGGATTATAGGTACTCAATTTCAACTATTTGGGGGTGTGTGGGGTTGCCTTGATTGAACCCAGGACTTTTACATTGAGATATACCCCCAGCCCTCTTTTTATTGAGACAGGATCTCACTAAAGCCCATATTTGCAAGTTTATTTTTTTTATTAGTATATATGTATTTAGTATGTAATGTTTGTATTTCTTATGGGGGAGCTGGTACATAATTCCTTTTTTCAAACAATTTCCCTTCCCTCCCTATGCCCTCCACCTGGCTCTTGATCCCCTTCCTTTTTTTGTATGTATTTGCAGTACATGATTTTTGTATTCATTGTATATATTTGGCACATGTACATGACAAATTCAATTCCTTTTTAATCCATTGTTCCTC